AGCCTTCTCCTCGTCCACCAAGCAGGTCACCCCATCTTAAAAGGAGATCAGATCAGTCAAGCAGGACCTGCCCTTCCTGAACCCATGCTTACTGGGCCTGATCGCTTGGTTGTCCTGCATGTGCCATGTGATGCACTCAGGATGATTTGTTCCATCACCTTCCCTGGCACCGAGGTCAGACTGACAGCTCTGTAGTTCCCCAGATCCTCCTTCCAGCCCTTCTTGTAGATGGGCATCATATTTTCAAGCATCCAGTCAACCGGGACCTCCCTGGTTAACCAGAACTGCTGACAAATGATGGGAAGTGGCTGGTGAGCACTTCTGCCAGCTCCCTCAGGACCCTGGGGTGGATCCCATCTGGCCCCATAGACTTGTGCATGTCTAAGTGGTGTAGCAGGTCACTAACCACCTCTTCATGGATTATGGGGGCTTCACTGTGCTTCCCATCCCTGTCTTCCCGCTCACGGAAATTAAAATACTGTTTGCCTTTCACAGAGTACATAAGGGTATATAGAGAAGGTGAGAAGGGCTGTGGTAATGCTAGTGGCCTATTGGTACCCCTTCAGTGTTCTATAATAATGGTAACACATATGCCTTATAAATGCACTTCATAAGCTAAAGCTCTAAGATAAACTGAAAAAGATGAATAGGAGAAGTGTGTTTTAGAGAAAAATTTAAGAAGCACAGAAGAGTTGCAACAGTAAGAATTCATCACAAAATTTAAGACAGGGCTGAGTCAAGGTTGTTGTAAACAAAGGAAACTAAACTGAGATTTTGTCTGTCTAAAGAAAGGGTGACAAATTAGATTGATCTGCTTGCTACATTTGTAGATTTGCGATTAGAGAGGACAAGCACAGCTCTGCCATGATAGATTTTTTTCCTAGCACTAAACTTATAGTCATGCTGAGGTTCCCATTTGCAGGATCAGTGAAACTTCATAGCTTAGTATTTGAATTAAATTGAGATATATTCCTAAAGAGGAACCAACCTTTTAGCTGTTCCTAACATCTTGTAACATTCGCGTTTCTCATATTAAAATTCCCTTCAATTTGTTAGGCTACATAAAAAATCATGCACATTCCAATTATCAAATATTGGCGTTGCTATAGTTTTAATTAATTCTCTGTATTCTTTGCTTCAAAAATCTATCCTTAGAAAATTTGATGTTTTAGGCATTCCTCAAATTTCCCTTAGTTCTCTGCTCATGTCTAGAAGTCCACAATACCCACAGCCTGGACAAAAGTATGTGAGGCCCAAATCACTTCATGGGAAAACTTCAAATCAGGGTTCCAGCTCTTAGGACTGGGTATGCAATGCTGAGTGTTTTAAATGCAGTGTGATGAAGCGTGTGTAATTAGTTGCTCAGTGCTGTAGGAGAATGTTTATATGAGCCAGATAGTGCCATTTTATTCCTGAGGAGCTGGCTAAATTGACTTAGTCAAAATGCCTCGCTCAGATATTCTGTTCCAGCAAAAACTAGCTGAGTGGTTGCAGTAAGCCTCAAATGAGAAGAGGCTGCATTCATCTTGCCCATACTACGCACTGGTGACAACTCCCGCATGACTTTGGCTGTCAACTTAATGTCCCTTGCCTGCTAGCCCTGGGGCAGAGCCTGCTGCTGGCTCAGTGCAGCCACGTGCTGTTCAAACAGGACTGGCATGGCTTTGTACGGTATTGGCAATATTTATCTACTGCAGCAGTGCTGGCTGTTTAATGACAAATAAATAACACCATCAATTCTATCCTAGAAACCCATCATTGACTCTATGTCAGAAGATGGCTACAAGCTGGATAAATTACAAGGTGAAATTGAATTTCATAATGTAACATTCCATTATCCCTCCAGACCAGATGTAAAGGTAATTATTCATCATCCATCCTGTGAACACAATTACTCTAAACAATCAAAATATCCTGGTTCTGCAAGCAATTTCTACATTTTCAGCAGAGCTTGTTTTCCAGAAGCCCAGACCCTCTGTTTAAAAGTAGACTAAACAATTCCTCTACTTACCGTTCTACTTTTTTTTTATCATTCTGATGCATCCGTTGCCACACATATTCCTTGCTGCTGAACATAAACTCATAGTAATTTCAGACAAATTCATCTGCATACAGCTTCTCTTACAATCAATTATGCACTTTGTATCAACATGTGCTAGGATAGGACACAAAGCAATAAGCTGAATGGTGCAAGGAGATTTTATGAAACTCTTTCATTACCCTGGGGTTGTGCTATGTGACCCATTAAAATGCTAGGAAAAGGTACAGGAGAACTGGCTGTATACCCCATTATTTCTCTAGTACTATGTTTGAAGTGACAAATTCTCCTTGGAAAAGCAAGTTATTGGACAAGCAAATGAATGTTATTGCTTCTAAAGACTGAAGCATATGAAGTACGTGATTTTTCTACATGATTTCACTGTTACATCTATGCTTTAACAAGCACTCATAATACATGTAAAGTGTTTTTAAAGGAGCTTTATTGCCAAGTTCTCCAGTGGTATTAACTTGATTAGATCTTAATGGATCTAATTAAGAACTAAAGTTCTTAAACAGGAACAGAGATCAAAATCTGCCTGCCTGTCATAGAAAAGAGTGCATTTATAAACTCTTCAAACAATGCAAACATACTTGGCTTTCTTTTTTATCTTTTTTTTTCATATTTTTCTGAATTTTGTGGAATTGATTTGAGTCTTCATTTTAAGACACAGAATATTCCCACTTGGTTGCATGACAGTGAGAGAATTAGAATGGATAGGTTCTGATTATTTTTCTTTTCCTCTCCAGATTTTGGATAACCTTAATATGGTTATTAAAGCAGGAGAGACAACAGCTTTTGTTGGAGCTAGTGGAGCTGGAAAAAGTACAACAATACAGCTCATCCAGCGCTTCTATGACCCCACCGATGGCATGGTGAGTGGAGCAGTCTCTGATGTGTTTCTCTGGCCTTAGGGACTTGAAAGAATGACACTGTTTCTTCTCTGAAGTGGAAAGGAAGACTCCTAACTTTATTTCCTTTTTATTTTTTTTTAAATGACCAAAATATCCTTTTGTGCTTTTCAGGGGAATGCTGAACAGTCTTATCAAAAGTAAATATGTGAAAGAAAATAACTGTTAGGAGAAAATAAAACCTGAGTGCTAAATCTGAGCAAAAACTAAACCTATCGAAACAATAATTCAGGAGTGACAAATAATTTTTCATTCTAGAAAACACAGTATTGAACATATAATCATTATCCCATAATATTGCTTTAGTATGTGCAATTCCCACTTAGTAATGGATTGACTAAGAACATTAATTCAATCTCATTCCATTTATGTGTTCTTAGCTGGCACAAATCACATACATGGTGGCCTGTATTTGAATGTATAAAAGACAAAGAACCAATTTTGATTATTACTTTCCACCTGGTTTTATTTCTGAGGCCAAGCAAAAATAGGTATTGGGAAATGAACTCAAAGAGCACAACTCCTAGGCCCAAGAAGAAGCATATACTGCTGGCACTGCAGTGGGTTCTTTTACGCATGAAAGCTATTTTTAACACTGGTCATGGAAACACCACATGACAGGCCCTTCATTTCCATTGTGTCTCTCTTTCTTTCTTCGTCTCTGAACTGAAGAGGATAATGTCCCTCCCTTTTTTTTTTTGTCCACGTTTCAATTGGCTTCTGTAGATTACCCTGGATGGCCATGACATTCGTTCCCTTAATATCCAGTGGCTACGCTCACAGATTGGTATTGTTGAACAAGAGCCAGTGCTCTTTGCCACCACGATTGCGGAGAACATTCGCTATGGTCGGGATGAGGCTACCATGGAAGACATCATCAAAGCAGCCAAACAGGCCAACGCTTACAATTTCATCATGGACCTGCCGCAGGTATGCCGTGCCTTGTAAAATGTTTGGCAGAATCTGATGGAAAAATAGAAAATCCTTTTGTTCCTTCCTGCAGGCAACCATTTGTGCTCAGGTGGAAGGGCAGGAGATTAATACACAACCTCAGCTCCTTGTATGAGCTCTGTAAGTGAGCTGGGGGTTCCCTCTTTCCCGGTTCCTTCCCTTGTGACGACAGGGCTGTGGTCAGTCCTAGGGTTTCCTGCTTACAAGCCCCATGTTAGATAGTACTGCTCTGTTTACTTTTCTAGAATGTCATTCTGTCATGTAGTTTCTCAAAGGGACATGTTACAACAGTGAACCTGGTTGAGAGGATTCAAGTACCATTAACTAATGTCAGTATGTACTTTTTATCTTCCATCCATGCATTTCCAGGCTTCCAGGAAACTGTTCATAGAGAGGCGGTGTAATAGCCCGTTTATTTCCTGGAAATGGAGGAATAAACAAAAGTTGGCTCTAGGTGAATCTAATTATACTGGTTCTCAAGATGCTAGGCTTTATGTGTTTATTTAATTTTCTGCCTGAACCTGATGCCACCAGAGTATGAGGCCCATAAATCACAGACACAGTGTTCATGAGTCACAGGCTATCAGCAGATGAGTCCAGCTCTGTGGTGAGCTTGCTGGTGAGTCAACAGATGGAGAGTGGGCAGGTGTCTCCTCTCCATTTCAGCTTTTGCTGATACAGTTGTTTTGAGCCAAACCAGAACATTTAATCTTTTTATCAGTATGTAATTTTGGCTTGGGGTTAGAACCCCAGTTCAGGTAAAATGATGTTGTTCACTATGAAGGAAGTTATTTCATCAACTCTCTTTTGAGTCTGGTGCAATAACACTGGTTTTTTCTTTCAAAAATGATAATTTTTAAATCTACTCCCAGGACAAATCTGAGAGATATTTTACCAATATCTTCCCAGAAGCTTGACAGACTCTTTTCTTATCTGTTTCATTTTCATTTTTTTTCCTTCAAACAGCAATTTGACACTCATGTTGGAGAGGGTGGAAGCCAGATGAGTGGAGGTCAAAAACAGAGGATAGCTATTGCTCGAGCTCTTGTGCGAAACCCGAAAATCCTGCTACTGGATATGGCTACATCAGCACTTGATAATGAAAGTGAAGCTATTGTCCAAGAAGCACTTCATAAGGTTTGCTATAGCATAGCATAAATCAGACTTTAAAGGGCATAAATTATTTTAATGCACTCTACAGAGGGTGCTGTTGAATTGCAACAAAGCAGTGAGAAGCTTTTCTTAATAGCTGTTTCATGTGCACAGGTAGAACATTAGCATTTTTTTTCTTACATGGGGACATTAACAGAAATCTATAGCTCTCTTTGCTCAGAAGCAGATACTCATCTATGGGCTATGGATGGAGTTCAAGTCAAAGTCAGCTGGAGCCACTAGAATGACTCCTGTTGACCTGACCAAACTTTAGATTACATAGCACTGTTTCCAGGTATTTCTGTTTCTGTCCTGGGAATGGCCCTCTTCTTGTTCCCTGCCAGGCCCGCCTTGGCCGCACAGCAATCTCGATAGCTCACCGCCTGTCGGCCATCAAAGCTGCCGACGTCATCGTGGGCTTTGAGCACGGAAGGGCTGTGGAGAGAGGAACTCACGAGGAACTCTTGAGGAGGAAAGGGGTTTATTTCATGTTGGTGACCTTGCAAAGCCAAGGAGACACAGCACTTAAAAAAGAAGCAACGGAAAGTAAGTGTTTTGGTTTCTTTTATAAAATGACATAAAATTCCACAGAATGCAGATTTTATTTTTTTTAATTAGGGCTAGTTGCTACTTTTCTTTTTTTTCTTTCACCTTAATGGCTGAATTTTAGCATTCCTAGAAGTAATACACTAATAGCCCTAGCCAAAGTGTTCTTACTGCATATGCACTTGAAAGACCTTCATAATATTGATCCATCCTGAAACATTAATCCTGACCCGCAATACCCATCATTTTATAGCTCCATTTAGTGCTGATAGTCCAGTCCTGATGCACTTGAAAAGCAAGCAAATTACAGAGTATGCAGAAACCACACTATTTATTTTACTAGAGGCAGATTTGAATCAAACATTCTGGAAATGGAGGTCTAATAGAATGTTCTGTTGCATTTCTGTGAAGTGTCATGTCTTCAATATGATTATCTTAAACTAACAGAGCAATTACAGTGCTAAAATGGAGAAACAGCCTTTAGCAGTCACATCCCGAGTGAGACGGTCCTTCATCATGTCAAATGCACACATAAAACTTGTGGTACGTGTAGGTTGAGTAGCAAGGTTTTGTAACATTCCTTTCCTTCTACAAAGTATTTCAGTTATGACTTGGAGACATTGCGCTTTTTTGCAGAGCCATAGTGGATTTTTAGATTTTATTCAATTTTAGCACAAAGTGAAGAGCTCTATATACTGTATTTTACAGCAGCAGAAAATAATGTGGTTGAGCCAAATCTTGAAGAAGTCCAAACATTCAGCAGAGGAAGCTACCAGGCCAGTTTGCGGTGAGTCTTAAAAATCACTGTAAATCTCAAGATGTTTCCAGTTCTCTATCCTTTGTCCCACTATTCCAAAATCCCAATAGTGCTAATGAATCACTTCTTTGTATGTTGCAAAAAAGAGAGAAGGGCTGCAAGCATTTTACTAAGACAGAATTTACTTGGAAAGAAATGGCTTGTGTAATACATTGCTGGTTGAAGTCCCATGGAGAGATAGCAAGACTCTTAATTTTACTCTCTTTTCTATCCATAGTACCTTCTCTCCAACTCTCATCTACTGTGTTAATGTCCCATTTTTAATATTACTACCATACAGCAATATATTTGTATTACCTAATGCACTTTCAGTCCAGTCATTTGCTGTGCAAGTACTCAAGAAATCAATGCAATGCACAAGGACATTTTTATCATGGCTTCTACTTGGTGAAACTTAAAGCATTTTACAAGCCAGACTGTCTTGTAGCTAGACACTTAATACTCCTTTTAGGCAAGTCCATGTCAGACATATGCAAGTGAATATATGTCTCTTACATTACAGGATTATACTGTGTCAGGGATAGAGGTGGGTTGTTTCAGCATCTTGTTTTGATAGTCTGAATTACTTGATAGTGATATGGTGAATTGACCTGGTGTCTTAATAGCTTGTGCAAATATAGTGGGATACACCACAGTTTTGCTTAACAAATACACGCTGAAGCTTACATAAAAGTCAATGTCTGAGTGGTGGGGGTGGAATATGATTTTGAAAAATAATTGTCCCTGTTGTGGGATATTTTCTTCTCAAGAAGTTGAGAGAACATAGAAAAAGAAAGAAAAGGTCTGTGATTTGGTTCAGTGAATCCTGATTTAGTTGATGTGAAAACTGCACCTCTTTTGCAAGCAAGTATTGTGTTACTGAGCTGCAAAGAACTGACCATTTCTGTCTTTGCAGAGCTTCACTCCGGCAGCGCTCCAGATCTCAGCTCTCTAATGTGGTCCCTGATCCCCCACTATCCATTCCAAGAGATCATGCAGAGTCTATGTACCTTACGTCTTCTTATGGTGAAGATGATGAACAAGCGAAAAAGGTCAGATCCAATAGTTTGTGATTAAATTTTCAACCAAACAGGTTGTATTACTCTACAATGATAACCTGTGGATATGTGCCTCTGTTATAGGAGTTGTTGGCAGATGCATCTTCTTGGATTGATCCTCTTCTCTACTTAAACAAAACCACAGCTTCAGTGCAAACCCTAGGCTGCTGTTATGCTTATTGGTCCATAGAAAATTTCAGGCAGAGCATGACCAGTTGGCAAATTGATCTATGTTTTAGATTAAGTTGATAAAGACATATTTATAAAAGCTAGATTAACTGACAAAAAGCAAAATGCTCCATCTGTGAAATGTAATAGCCAGTCAATGTTACTGATGACACTGCTTCTGTTCAACTAAGAGTAAATTCAATTTGTCTCAAAATCATCTGGAGACTTGAGTAAAGAGAGGCCCTCACTGCAGCCTAACTCTGAGTCCTTTCATTGACAGTGTCCTTGTGAGGTTAACTAGCACAGAAAATAAAGACAGCATGCCTTAAAATTATGCAGAATACGTAGTAGTATACACAGCAGGTTTCCAAAGCGCTTATGAAGCTCCCTGCACCGATTTGCATGGCTATGGCTGTTCAGTGCAGAGAGCAGCAGTTAGAAGACACTGTTCTTGCTATTGCTAAGCGTAGTCTGTGGATAAACAGAGGGCTTCAGTGCTGTCACTCTGGCACTAGCTCAGAAGGAAGAGAAAATACAAGATGCTTCCACGCATTCATCCTTGCAAATCTCCAGCAGATAGGTCAACACAGTGTCTGTTTTGTCTGGCCATTTCCAGCCATATGATCTAAGGGAGATGAGCGGGGCTCAGCACACCGAGTGTTAAAGAAACACTGCACAAATCAAAGTGTGGAGTAAGTTGTAATTTGGGGATGAATATTCTGCTCTTACTAGGAATAATTATGGGAATTCAGCATACAGACTGAGGATGTTTCACAGAAGGGAGGCATAATTGGCATGTATAAAGCCTGAATCCAGCTACCACTCTGACATCGCCCATGTTTTAACATTTAGCATACCAGTTAATTTGATGCAGAGTCTCATCAGTGTGCTCACCCTCAATACTTTAAAATAATGTTTAAGAAGATTCTGTGAATGACACAAAAAGCTGCTTGTGAGGAACAGGTTTATGTTTTGGCACTGGGTATTGCCAAAATACCCAGGAGGCAGCAGAAATGAAAGTGCCTGAGTTTCAGTGGCAGAAAACCTTAAACTGGTCATAATTAACCTCTTAAATTGGAATGCATAGAGCTACACAAGGCATAAATCTCTCTCTTTTTCTCCAGGGACAGTAAAGGTAGCCATGTATGTATCCCTCTTGTGACTCCCAAGCCCTACACAAGAGCTCTGTACAGCAGCCAAGACCTATGTCTGCCTCTTCCCATACAAAGCTAGAGTAGCTGTTTGGGCACTAGATGGCCATCTAACAGACTGTGCTAACTATTTTATCTCGCTGTCAAAGGGAGAATATCACTGGTGGAACGCATTTGCTTCATAAACCCAATCTTTCCTTTTCAAGGAATCTGTTGTTGTGGAGGAAGATGTCAAGCCTGTGCCATTTACCAGAATTTTGAAATACAATGCCTCTGAGTGGCCATACATGGTGCTTGGATCTCTGGCAGCAGCTGTGAATGGCGCAGTCAGTCCACTCTATGCTTTGTTATTCAGTCAAATTCTTGGGGTATGTTATGCTAACATTTTGATTGACCTTTCGCTGGTTTTTTTTGAGGGGGAGTTGTTTTGGCTTAGACATTTCTCTCTGTGAATCACATTCACTTGCAGCTTGGTGTTTGCTAGCTAAGACTCAGGGAGGGGGAGAGCAGAAGACATTCCAGTCCCTGTTGATCCACTTAGTGGCTCCCAGCCAATGTGCTTGGTCTTTTAGCCATAGGTGTGCCACCTCCAAACATTTTTTGGGTGTTTATACCTCATTGCAAAGACTGTGGCTTTCACTAGGCAGCAGGTGAGACACTGCTATGTGCATTCTAACCTTTGATTCCTTTTGAGAGAGGTTTTCTAGACACCAAGAGGTCTGGGGCTGATGTCATCCTGCAAAATGCTAGGTGCCTTAATTGCCAAGGATTAATTCCTTCTCTTGAAGGTCTCAGTCCATCAAAAGAGAGAGGCTGCAAGAAAAAAAACAAGGCATACTGAACATGAGCAAAGTCCAACATCTGTGTTTCGTTACTCTTAAATTTAAAACATTTCTGCCTGGTGCCAAGGCAGTCAGGCAGATGGAACATGCATCTGCTTTCCAAGCTGAATATCTGCAATGATGTTGTGACAGACACGTGGGCTTGAACTCAGGGACCAATATGCTAGGGAAGTGATGGGAAAAATCCCCACAGCTATGAAATGAGAGCATATATTTAGCAAAGCCTGCCTTGAAGGTTCTCGGAATTAATCCCAAAAAGTGAATGGAGAACTAGATAATACTGGACATGTCTTCTGATGAGTTCAATTTGGAAGCGTACCTTTGGAACAAGTTTCTTGGTGGTTTCTTCTTCCTATGCTTTGGTTCCCACTGAGGAACTGTCTTAGAGTATGGGAAATGGATCCTTTCCAGTGAAACTCAACAGGAAGATGTGCTCCGACTGCTGTCGGGCATATAGCCTATGGCCTCAGATAAAAGGCAGTCCATGCTAAAACTGTTGAAACTAGTATAATCTGAGCATGGACACCTCAGCACCATCATTTCCTTCCATAGACCTGATGCTGTTGTCCATGCTCCCTGTTACTGTAATCAGTGCTGTTTTTTTAAAGTCAAGAACTTAGGTCAAAACCATAGCTGAGCATGACAGGATAGCTGCCCAATGGGATAGTCCAATTTGGCAAGACAGGTTTGCAATACAGAGATCTCTTCCCAGCGAGTGTTATCCACATTTCCTTCCTGCTATTTCTCTCCGTTTAGGAAGCATGTAAGTACCTACTTCAGCCCATTGCTTTTCTTGAGCTGGGAAGTTTCCTTGAATTTCGAGCCTGCAAAAGGAATCCCAGACTGACCAATAACTTGCCACACCAGAAGCCCCCAAGGTGCCTTGCAGACACTGCAGTCCTGTCAGCCTTTATCTAGGAGCAATAGAGAGCCTGGCCACAGGAACTGGGAATTCCTCCCTGTTAGTTTGATATATGGTTCACTTTGAACTGTAAATAACTTGGGCTGACCTTTTAAGGCTAGTACTTATGTTTACTTTTTAGAATTCTTATATATCAATTAGAATTTACTTCAGGTTAGTGGACAAGTACAAACATGAGCTGTGGCTCATACCTGCAAGTAGCAGTAGCAGTAGTTTAACAGGTTCAGGTAGGTTAACTTACCTATGTATCAGCTGCTCTGACAGAAACAAATTGCTAAAGGATGGGTACTTAGATCTGGACCACTACTTCAGCAGCAGCCAGAAATGCTGACAGGGGTTGAAAAAGACCAGCTATTAAGAAAAAGAGATAAAAGGAAAACAGGATGGGGACTGGAGCAGAATGGGGAGGAGGGGCTCTCCTTTAAGCACAAATGCTTTTTCTCAAGTACCCAGCAGTAGGCAAATCTCTCGTATCCACACTCCTTGAGTAAAAGACAAGAGGTTCCTCTTGAAGCATACCTGTAGCAGTTACAGTACATGTTAGTGCTATGCAAGGAGGGTCATGCTTGGGTATAATTATTTGAACAGACTTCATTTTGTAGGGCCCAATGAAGTTGCAATTGTCATAGATCAGAGAGGAGGTAAGGGAGGTGCTGCACTGGTTCCTTGTTGCTATGCTATTTATTCCATTGCTATTCTCTGGTTACCACACTGGACCTTGTTTAGAGGGAAATGATTGGTTATTTATAACTAGAGATGGGCAACAAGTAATAGCAGTCTGTGCAGCCATCGAGTATAGTAAACTTGCTTTTTAACAGCAGTAAAAAACATTACGTTGTACCCAGGCTCACCTTAGGAAAAATAAGGAATTGGGCCTTTGAGAGGGGTGAGAGCAAGCTCTGTGTTCTGGATTTGATTCTAGGGTGGGCTTCTGCACCTGGCAATAGGGAGTCATGAATAACCTTCAAACACAGCAAAACTGGTATTTCTAATGTGATGTCATCCTTTTTTCTCAAAGACTTTCTCCATTCTTGATGAAGAAGATCGAAGAATCCAGATCAACGGTGTCTGCCTGCTCTTTGTCTTTGTCGGCATTCTTTCATTTTTCATGCAGTTTCTACAGGTAATAGCAGTCCAGTATGGGTAAGTTTTATTTCTGATCCCTGACTCTGGGGGTATCTCTTTCTGTGCAATCCTTGTATTTATGCTCATGCACCCCAGGGATACACCTTTGCCAAGTCCGGAGAGCTGCTTACAAGACGGTTAAGGAAAATTGGTTTCCAGGCTATGCTAGGGCAGGACATCGGCTGGTTTGATGACCGCAAGAACAGCCCTGGTGCACTGACTACAAGACTTGCAACGGATGCCTCACAGGTCCAAGGGGTAAGACCTGGTATCTGAGGAATCGTTTTGCTCCAAGCACTGATTGAAGGCCTGTTTTGGCCCTTGTCACTGGAATTAGGTAGCATGCAGCCGGTGAGGTCAGTGTAGATCAGTCCTTGGTCAGTCCATTAAGCTATTTGTATTTATCATAGGCTGTCAATGTGAAACCATAATCACTGTATTTACCTAAAGGCAAAAATAGGGTCACAATTTGCTGCCCATTACTCCTGCCTGTATTGCCAGAACAAGAACACAAAAATCAATAGAATACCAACCATCAATGGCACTGGAAGGTGCGTCCAGTGCAGGACTTTTAATGTCTTTCTTCTGGAGTTGATTTAGCTTATTGTCACAGTGCTTAAGTGTTTATTTCAGTAACATGTCAGACTAGTATTTTAGTGAAATCCATCAATAATCATGTTCTCAAGATTTCAGCACGGTATTGTGCTTGTTGTGACAGCTTTGATTTAGACTCACAGTCCACTTGACAGAACAGTTTACAGTACTGGCTCATGCTCCAAGTGAACCAATAACTGTGCATTGTGCTCCTTAGTGGGTGACGGTTGGGTCATGCTGAGCTGGGGTGTTACCAGGGTATATCTTTTATCAAGTCCTCCTCTTGATGTAATTAGTTTGAAACAGTAGGTCCAAACTGGCTAAATTCAAGTGCAGTCAGTTGGTTCCTTATGATATTTGAGTAACATTTAGAGTTCTCTGAGGTTTTGCAGGAAAATTTATTTGAAGGTTGTTGAGGTTGCTATTGGAGTACAAGTCAATCACGTCTGTCTCTTTTCTTTGAAGGCAACTGGATCGCAGATAGGAATGATCGTCAATTCCTTTAGCAACATTGGGGTGGCCATGATCATTGCTTTCTACTTCAGCTGGAAACTGAGTTTAGTTATACTGTGTTTCCTGCCATTTTTGGCCTTATCTGGAGCTGTGCAGGCTAAAATGCTGACAGGATTCGCCTCTCAGGACAAGAAAGCGCTGGAAGCTACTGGACGGGTAACATTATTTAAAACTAATTTATATTTGCAGTCATGGGTAGTTGAAAAATCAGGCATTTGGGACCATTCAAATGTAATGAAACCGGCAATGTTTTGCAAATAAGTTGTAATATTTCATCTTGTCAAACCATTGCAACACCACTGGCAGCTCCCTCACTGCAAAGCACTTGCTATATGGAATGTGACTGACTTTTCAGAAGTTATTGGAACTGCTAGGCACAGATTTCTCAGCAGTCTGTTTCGCCTGTGTTGGGCTTTATTTCAATACCCCTTTATTGATGCCCTGTGCTTACGCTGTCCTCAGAGAGCAGTGATACGCGTTCACTTCTTCCCTCTACCCACCTGAGCTCTCAGCCACCTTCAGCCCCCTCCTCACCTTACTCTGTGCAGCAGACGCTTGGACTGGAGCCCTTTGCTGTCGCTCCCATTGCCTGCTGCCACTGGCACAGGCAGCCACCCCACTTCTTGACTTCCCACGAAGCAGCAAATCTTCAGCTCCCAGTTCCCATTTCTGGGTGTGATTTGAGGCAGCGTGTTGTGACTGGGGCCACAGAACTTAAAAATATAATTTTGGATACCTAGACATGCAGACTTCTGGAAATGATTTTTTAAATGCATAAAAGATATTATGTGAATTGACATCACTTGACTCTGGTATCACAAATCAAATGAATACATTCATGGGCCACTGCTGAGTGCTGTTAGGAACAATCTTCAGTTCCAGAACTGAAGGAGGAACTAAGACCCAACCAATTTCCCACATTCAGAATAGTTTAATTATTTTTAAAAAGTGATAAATCAAAATACTGTCTTGGAGCTGACAAGGAGAGAAACTTCACTGAGTCAAGGCACCAGCTTTTATTCAACAGAATGACCCAGAGACTGGGATGAAAAGGGCACTCAATGCTTCACAGTTTTGGCGATGACTGATTATGCCTGGTGTTATTTTCTAATTTATTTGCCAGCACTGCATCCAAATGCTAAACACCCTCAGCTCTTGCACAGAGATTGCTCATCAGCCATGCTAAACACGGAAGAGAATGGTCTGAACAATCCAATTCGCAGCACCCACTTATCCGCTCATTCGTGCTGTATAACAATGCAAGAGATTTGACTCTTAATTTTGGCCAGAAAAAAACCCCGAAATTGGATGAAATATTTTCAATGATTTATATTCAGATCTCTTACTATGTGCTGAGGACATTCATAAGCCATACACCAGACTGCTGCTTCCCAAAGGAAAATGTCACACTGTGAAGCTACTATCAGAGTCCAGGCAAAGTGCAGCGTTTAAAACAAATTTTTAAATAAAATGACTTAAGTAGGGTGAAATTAGGATCAATTGACTTCTCTAGATGAAACTATAGTGCTATTTATTGGAGACAGAAACCCGAATTCTGACTGGCAACAAAACACATTCTAAAGCCTACCATTACTTAAGGTTCCAGAGATGTTTCCAACTCAGAGAAAGATCACGGGGGTTATCTCACAGTGTTGTGTTTTTCTATGGACATAGGCAAGCATTTGCTTACTCTTTGTCTATGTACAAGGTATTGGAAATTGTATCACTGGTGTTAGAGGAGTCAAGATGTCACCCTCCACTTATATGTTCCATCTCCTCAGGCTGGTTTTGGACATAAGAGGGAGGGTGAGCAGGTGAGGAAACGTAGTAAATTCAAGTGGTTTCAATTTATGAGACAGAAGCTGGGGACAGCATCCTTTCTAACTCTTTTCCTGACCATTAGTATAAGCAAAACAAAATAGTTGAAATAAACATCTTCAATTAATAAAGGCATGCAGTCAAGGAAATAGAAGTGTTTCTAAAGCCATTTTTGCTTGTGTGCGTGTCCCATTTATTCACAATATGTGAAATAAGTCACAAGTGAGAGCATGTGCCCCATTTCCTAACTGTGCTACACTAAGCTCCAGCGAAGCAGATGGAGCATTTCCTGTTGAGGACATTGTAACTGCTTATGGGAAAGGTTCTTTGATATTTGGGCCACTCTGTATTGCATCTGAACCAGTTTATATATGGCATCGGTGCCCTGTGTTCATGAAACAATTATGCATTTGCGAAAGAGCACATTCTGCTTTTCCAGTGAAAAACTTGGAGCTTTTAAAGCATTTATTTTGTTTTTTCTTCTCCAGATTTCCAGTGAAGCCCTCTCTAACATCAGGACTGTAGCTGGGATAGGTAAAGAAAAAATGTTTATTGACAATTTTGAGAAGAACTTGGTTATGCCCTATAAAGCTGCAACCAAAAAAGCACATGTTTACGGATTCTGCTTTGGCTTTGCCCAGAGCATAGTGTTCATTGCCAACGCTGTCTCGTACAGATACGGAGGGTTTTTGGTTGGCGCTGAAGGACTCCATTACAGCTTTGTGTTCAGGTGAGGGCTTCCCTGCAGTCAGGCTCCTCTCCAGAAGCGCTGACCTTGGTGTAGCGCTCAGTTGCCCACGGACTTCCCAAGAGTGACCGTGTCGCCCTTCCCCGCAGGGTGATCTCTGCTGTTGTGACCAGTGGGACTGCTTTGGGAAGAGCTTCTTCCTACACCCCAAACTACGCCAAAGCCAAAACATCTGCCGCACGTTTTTTTCAGCTGGTCGACCGGCTTCCTAAAATCAGCGTTTACAGCGAAAAAGGGGAAAGATGGGTAAGTGCAGAGATGAGTCATACGTGATTTCATTCAGCTCAACATCAGAGCTGAAGCTGCACTAACAATTTTCAAGTCAATGAGGATCACTGCTTTACAGGAGGGTTATGCCAACTGTGTAATTGTTACCTGTCTCTGCTCCTTTGGAAGCAGCAAGCTCTGCACCAGACAGCAAGAGTAAACCCAAGTGTGGCTATTAGGAATTTGTCAGCGTAAAATGCCTGTGAATTGGAACAGGGCCGATTTGGATGACTCACAGAAGAGCATGCTGTTTCTTTCTCCTCTACAGTTCGCACATAAACCTATCGCTGGCTCATAATGGAGGCTTTTTTCCTCCATTCACATGAAAATGTTGGGGGTGTTCATGAGGAGGCAAATAATCTTTGAGTCAGAGAAAAAGAAAATGCTCAGTTTTTGGTGAATTGAAAAGTCAGGCCCAGAAAATTAAGAGTTCATTTTTCATTTAACTTATTTTTTCAAAACTAAACAAAATCTTGAAATAATTGTTATGAACTAAATACATTAAGTATTTTGCTTCTGACCATGAAAATGAAGTATCTCGATTCCCTTCAGAGTTTTTTAGGTGTTCTGGGGAAACCGGTCTGAATTAATGTCTCGTTTGAACCTTGCAAGGTTTGTTCAATTGATTTTATTATTTTTACCAAACCTAGCTTTCTGCACAAATGTATTTGTATACGTCACCAAATTTCCCCTTACACAGTGGTTGTATTAAAATAAAAAACTTACCCATTTGCAAGGCAGTCCTGTCTCCAATTGATGCCTCTGACCAGCGTAAGCAGAGCAATACTGCTGTGGCTAATGGCTTCTTCTCCAGGACAGCTACTCCAGCATGGTGCTTATCCCTCTTTCTGGGCTAATTTCACCAGCATTAATGTCATGTTTTAAATAAAAGATGCAAGAACAGAAACTGAATTACTTTGTACTTTACAACTCAGTTTTGGGCTCGAGCTCATTGTGTCATCTTTCTCCACTCTTTTCACCAGGACGATTTCAAGGGCAGCATTGAATTTCTTAACTGTAAATTCACATACCCTTCTCGGCCTGACATTCAGGTCCTGAAAGGACTCACTGTAGCTGTTAAGCCTGGACAGACTTTGGCATTTGTTGGAAGCAGCGGCTGTGGTAAGAGCACCAGTGTCCAGCTTCTGGAGCGTTTCTATGACCCTGAGAAAGGAAGTGTGGTAAGCAAAGGCAATGTGGTTTGCGTGCTGTTGTTTTCAGCAGCCTACAAGGACTCTTCTGAACGTGTCCTGCTGTGCAGCCCAGCACGAGGCATACACACGTGCAGCCTGGGGCTTCAGCTCCTTCTCAAAGAGATGTGGATGGTTCTGACTATTCCCAAGTATCACCTCAGATGTATCCAGGCAAGATCAGAACAGTACAAACCTCAGGTGTGTTATGTAGGCCAGAAGCACCTCAGTAGCTCCTGTATGAAACATATAATGTGTGGTGTACGTTGTGAGAGCACAAGCAAAAACCAAGCCTGGATGGAGCAACAGAGAGTCTGGACCATCACTAAATATGTAGCTTCAACATGCAGCTTCTTTGTAGGTTGAATTTGTCTAGGTTTAACTTCCAGTTATTCAGTTACTGACAGCTTGAAAATCTACCTTTCTTTTCCTCATGTAAAAACCATCTAGTCTGCTTTCCGTTTTTTTGGAAAAAGATAAGGCTGGTGATTGCTATGTTGCCAGGAAGGCAGCAAAGCATGCATCTGGCCCTAAACAATTAAATAGTTCACAAGATGAAGCAAATGGTCCAGTGTCTGGCTGGATCACAGGGATACCCAGAAAATACGCATCATGCACAAAGGAGTCAAGCGTAAGCAGACTCTTCAAATCACTTGTCAGTTGTGTTTGCGTTTCAGTAACATGGCTGACTCATTTAGCTTTGCTATAAACTATTTCAGTTGTGCAGGCTGTTGTTGTGGAATATTTCATGTTTTCTCCTATTTCCTGGTAGGTAATAGATGGACACGATACCAAGAAAATAAATGTACAGTTCCTTAGATCAAAAATTGGAATTGTGTCCCAGGAGCCTGTGCTATTCGACTGCAGCATTGCTGATAACATCAAATACGGCAGTAACACCAAAGAGGCCACGATGGAAAAAGTCATAGAGGCGGCCCAGAAGGCGCAGCTGCATGATTTTGTCATGTCACTGCCTGATGTAAGTACCCGCTGCGCGGTGTTCATTGCGGTGGGAGTTGCTCCAAACCCAGTGAAAGTCACTACACACATACACCTTTTATTTACTTCTACAGCTGTAACAGTAGGAACAAAGAGGGTGCCACGGCCATCCGTCATATTCCTCAGAGCTTTGGTGTGAGTTGCTACTGGATTTTTACACAGTAGGCAAATATTTATAAAAGTTAAACCAGCAGTTACAACTCTGAACTAGGAGAAAAGGGAAGACTTTTCGAAGCCACGGACAAGAAGGAGGCAGCAGCACAGTTCAGCAGTCAAAGCACTACACTGCGTCAGGAAATATAAATCCTGTTCCCAGCCGCGGGAGGTTTGCCTTGTCATACTTAGGCAAAAATATTTAAAGCTGGTTGCTTATATGCACTTAAGTATTTAAATGCACCAAAATAATATAAATATAAATCAGAAGACTATAAAAGGTCTGGATACAATTCAGGCACCTAAACAAAACACTTGGTTAGAAAGCCCTTAAATCACTTTTAGCTTCTCCCAAAGCTAGGATGGGGGATTTATTTTGCCTCAGACAAACCAGCCAACATCTTGCTACCAAATTTTTCTTCCAGGCCTGTCACCGCACTGCCTGGGCTCCTGGGCCACACACTCCACAAAGCATGGCTGAGAAACACCATCCCAAACTTGTTTATCACTGTACAGTGTTTCTGCCTTGACGGGTGTTTTATCAGAGAGGCAGCAATGGTCAGCACTCTTGCCTTTCTCCTCCTGCTCCTCCTTCAGGTTGTGTACTGGTGTGTTTGCTTACACCTGACTAAAATCTTCCTTCTGTATATTTTTCAGAAATATGAAACTAATGTTGGGGCTCAAGGATCCCAGCTGTCTCGTGGGCAAAAGCAACGCATTGCTATAGCGAGGGCCATCATACGGGATCCTAAAATTTTATTACTGGATGAAGCTACATCTGCCTTAGACACAGAAAGTGAAAAGGTAAATATACAGTGATAACCCATATGGAAAGTTAATACAATGGCTTACCATGGACAACCCTTTTTTCTGCGTTACAGAGACATCCCAATGTACTGCACTACATGACTGCAACGTTATTCCACATTGTTAACTGAGCACTTACACCTTCAATGACCTTTTGAAAGATCCAGGCAGCATAGCTATAAAACCAGCAGCCAGCCACAGGGGCTCTTAGACTGCCAATGAGAAGCAGCATGTTTTCAGAAGTGTGCACACTAATGCCTGGGTTTCAAAGCATTCAGTGGGAATGGTTCATAAATATAGCTTCTGCACATTAAAAACAAAACCCCAACCAAACAGATTTGTATTCAACTATATGAATGATGAGCCTGAATATCCAATAAAAACAGCAGTGAGGGGCTTGAGAACTTGGGCGATAATTTGAGTAGCTTGGTTACACTCAGAGATTAGAGAAATGGTGGAAATTTAAAAACATCTCCACACTGAGCTGACACTCAGCCTATGAGCTGAATAAAGGCCTGCCTTAATTTCTACTGCTGTCTATGTCTGTCCCTTCTTTGTGCTGCTGATAAACTGAGCTCATGACCCAGTGAAGCACACCAGTAACGTAATCTTTGATTTAGCCTCACGGTCACTTTCACAAGTGTTGCACAATACAGGGAATTAATCTGAAGCAATCAGATTTCTCCAGCTCTGAGCCCCAATTTGTTTGCATATTTTCACTCTGACACCTTGTCTGTTGCCTTCAGACCGTACAGGCAGCACTGGATAAGGCCAGAGAGGGACGTACCTGCATCGTCATTGCCCACCGTTTGTCCACAATCCAGAATGCTGACATCATCGCTGTGATGTCGCAAGGACTCATCATTGAAAGGGGCACTCATGATGAACTGATGGCTATGGAAGGAGCTTATTACAAGCTTGTTACCACTGGAGCCCCAATTAGCTGAATTACTGTGATTCTAAATGCGAACGATTTCTCTTCTGTTGGCAAAAACTCTGTGGTACGTATGCGTATGTTGGTACCCCGCTGTGCTACTAAGAGCTCTACAATATCGTCAGTTCTGCGGTACCCTGAATGAATGTAGCTTTCTGCACCAAGCACACTTGCTAGTCACATGCAGAGGACCAAGCACAGGCGGATGCACTCAGGAAGCTGCGTAGCCCACTAGTAGGGAAAGGAAGCCTGAAAATGGGCAAGGCCTTTGAGCTGGGGAATGGCCACCACCTGCAGTCAGACTGCACAGCCCTGTCATTCCTCAACTAGCAATCAAGAAAGACTCTGTCCTGGTGTTCTGGAAACTGCCACTTGTCTAGGTAAGCTGCACAAATAAAAAACAATGCCAAGAATGATGCTGCCCATCTGAAGGGATCAAATCTCTCCTAATGTTCAGTCTGCAAAGGATTACAGCCATGGGTACAGAACGCTCATCCTTCCACCCCCTCACACCTCAGCTGTCCTGCTGGGGGAGTCTGGGCTTTCACCGTGTGCAGCTACAGCACCAGCACATCGGCACCTGAGCCTGCCGCGGCAGTGCCCCTTTACAAAGCCATTACGTACTCACAAAGGCGGCCGCTCCCCAGAAGTAAGGAAAGCAATCAAAGAGAGGAACAGAAGCTGGTGAGGATTGCTTCCCCTATACTCACCACTCTGATCAAAGCTGTCAAACAAATTTTGAAAAGAAAGAAATGCTTTAGCTAATTCAATGTAAAATCCTGTAGTTAATCATCACAGTTATTTAAATCACTTCTACTGAGACAGTGACAGATAATATGTACCCTTTTTTTTTCAGAAGGAAGACAATGCTGAGTATTTTTTACAGAAACCGTAAAAATAATCAGTAAAAGTGGAAAAAAAGCCAGCCATAATTAGCTCTTTGTATTAAGCACAGTTAATAAATAGAGCAACAATTCATTCCAAAATGACAAAGGTCAGGAAGTATCTTCTGGCAGAAGCTTGCATCTGTAACAGTTTATTATAAGGTCTACTGCGTGTTTCTCTGAAACATGTTACTGGTTATTGTCTGCAGGACAACAGGACTCTTCTCTTTGGTGACTGGGATCTTGGGGACAGAAAGTCTAAATTACAGTTTCAAAATTTAAATCTTGATTTCAAATTATAGAGTATTAACTGGAAAAGTAATTCTCCATATCCAGAAATCTGCAGCTGGGGATGGGGCAGGGCTCACTCACTTCACAACAAATCACACCACAATGGAGTTTCTTATAAAACTACAAACCAGTATTGACTGCTGGCACTTGAATAGTGCTGTGAGGGTGAAAACTTTATTAGAATACATCCCTTCATTCCAGGAAGGAAAAAAAATCAGCTTTTGTACAACTCCATTGATAGAATTACTTCAACAGACCCACTGCAATCACATAGCTGACACTGAAACGCTATTTTCCCAAGGACATCTTTATTTTAACCCTTAACTGAAAATGAAAAAGGAAGATGCATAATTGGCCTCCTATTTTAATCTTTTTTGCCCTTTTATGTTTCAGAACAATAATCAGTTTGGGTGGCTCAGGACTGAAACTATTGACAGCGACTATCAATAACCTACTGACATACTTACATGATATTTAATTTATATTAGTATTTAAGGCCATGGAAAAATAACAACTCTTTATTAAAAAAACTACAATTAATATGTGTACTTATTCCATAATTCTTTTGCCTAAAGGACACCAATTTTATGGTCCAAATTGTACCAATAAACTCTATTTTTTACTGGCTCCTGTGCTTTAGTAGTTCATTTCTTATCTTTCAGACAGGTGCATGGGTGTTCTGCAGCAGATAACAAGTATTTGTATGTATTTAAATCATGCCTGTAACAAGGGACAGAGCTGTTGAGAAATCCAATGCAACCGCACCAGCCCCTGCCCTGCTCCTTGCAGGAGCACGGTGACATGGGCCCAGCTGGCAGGTACTGCTACTGCTCCTCATCATAGCATCATCCTGGTTTTAGGCAGCCAGTAAATATTGGGGACCTATGTACTGGGAAGTATGCCTGCATAAAAAAGGCACTCACTGAAGCTACTGGTAAAATTTAACTAACATAATTTATTCCATTTTCCCCACCATTCTTGGTTTTAGTAATGTCTTAATAGTTGCAGAAAAAAAGCGGTGGTTCAGACAGGAAGCTGGGCTTTGCCCCTTTCCCTGAAGCACTGAATTTGCAGGCTGCATTAATAGGACACTCCAAGAAAGGGAGTGAGAGCCCAAGGTCTTGTTAGGTGTCTGTGTGGAAAAATACTGCTGCCAGTCTGCATTAATGGTTGGGTCTTTCCCAACAGAGGCACCAAGATTCTTTGTGAGTACTGGGAAGCTCAGACACTCATGTGGTAGGAGCTTAGAAATGTGACGTCTACCCAAAAGTAAACATTAAAACATTGCCAGCAGGCCCAAACACTGCTGCAAGAGCCACAGATGGCTGCGCACAAAGCATCCCCGGCTGCTGGCCAGGAGTGAGGAACAGGAGGACAGCTAGATCAACCTTCTAGAGTTCTGTGATGCCTCTGCAGGCCACCTCACTGGTAGAGAATAACAGAGCACAGAGCAACTTGAACATGGGAGAAATCTTTTTCATAGCTGTATTTGTTCTTCATTATTTGTTTCTAGCTTAGTAATTTTGCTTAAGGAGTCACAATTAAAGAAAAGACTGGTTTCAGTCCAGCTGCTGCGGGAAAAAGAGTTCAGAGAACCATTAAAGAAAGTATTAGGAGATGCATAAAGCAGAATACTCCTCAGACTGTTCAAATCAGGTTATTAATTTTCTTAAGTAAAGCTAGTCTTAGTAGGCTCTTAAATAAGGATGCCTGTTTCAAATTTGCTTCTGCAATATGTAGCATGTTCATTCCCAAAGAGCCAACTCAAACTATTCACTTTGTTTTCCAAATGAAGTAAGATTCTTGCCATTTAAATCACCCCACAACTAATTGGAAGCCTAGAAGCAACATCATGCTACACCTTCCAAGACTCACTGCTATCAGATCATACATACACAGCTCTCATTATCCATATTGTAGCCTTATGCTGCTTGTATACGAAGTATTATGATATGGTATTAGCAAAACATTGCTTAAAGATTATGCACGTTAATAAAAAGGGAAAGTACCCGTCTTTGCCTATTTAGAGCATCTAATTCAAACATACTTTTAACATAGTAGTTACTTGTGTGCCTAGGTAAATGAAGCTGACAAGAATATAAACTTGCAATGACTTATTCTGCAAGTACATTCTCATGATTTACACAACTACTAACAGTGATTTCAGCTTGTGACTCTTGACCTGAAAGAATTAGACTGATTTAGCTTTGCAATACAGGAGCATGAGTGACATTCTTGAGGTGACATACTGAGATAATTTCACTATTGACAACTTCCTTCATTTGTTGCTCTGTGTAGATGTACAGAACCCACCGTATTTATGCATTTTCAACATCAAAGGTGTAATCTGTATCATTCATGATTTATGTGACCCCTTTCAAAAAGTAAAAATGACAAAAACCAAACAGCAGTGCAAAAATATATTCTACAGAGTGTAATTGAAATGAACTTTTATTTTTTTTTCTCATCTGGCTTAATCAGAAGCTGTTTTGCTCAGGAAGCTCAATAAGTTAAATCTAAAGCCTTTTTCACAGTGCCTAGGTAGAGCTGTACAGTTGTAGGTGGTGTGATAGTCACACCATTATCTAGCAGTTAAACACACACTATCTACATAAAAAATTAAATATTAAGTATCACTATGTACAACTGAGGCTTGAAGCACCATCTAGCTGGAGATGGACAGAGCTAAAAGACTACCAAGTAGCTAAATAAAACTAGTTGATTATACTTTAAAACTTCAGTATGACCCGGAGTATTGGGTCATTTCTAACCATACTGCAGTGTGGTTGCAGTATTTCTAGGAATAACATCAGCAATTAATATTTCTGAGCTGCCAAAGTAATTCTTGAGTGTACTGATTCTGGATGTACCGGTTACTTACCAGGAGCACATCAAAGATGCAGTGGCATCCCCTTGGTTAAAATGAGTTAGCAAAACTGCCTTTGCGAAGGGTTCTTGAACAGTTCATATCCACCCCCATATTGCTAACCGTTTGGAAACTTTATCTAATTAAGTTTCTTCTCAGTTGTCCTCATTAATGAGTGGACACAGTATGGAACCAAGGCAACTACAGTCAGAGGCATAGCTGCACTCTTACAAAAAGAGAGAATGTAGAACAAATACTCAGTATGAGTAGGTATCTTAACAAAATTATACAGCTGCAGTGTAGCTAAAGAAGCAGCTATACACAATATGCGGAAACTTATCTTACAGCTATTTTTACCTTTGCAGCTCGTGATGAACATTTCAGAATTAATTCCGAGACCTAAGCCAAAGAGTGCACCTAAATTCCTCACCAGTCCAGCAAATGGAGTTGTGTCAATGTTTATCCAGTCTGGGTTGGCACACCACTTCTTGGCCTTGGGCACAGACCACAGCAAGTCGATATCAAGAAGCTTGAGGACTAGGTAAAAGCCAAGGGCAAAGATGAAAAGAAACAAGTTTGTCTTGATGTACATTCTCAGGCTTGCTGTCTGAATAGCAGGGGTATGCTCAAATGCTTCTGCCACGAGAATGCCTGCGGATTAGAAACTCAGTGTTACAGGGAACTACACACTCCTACTTTGAAGAGGCACCTTTTCTGGTGCCCCTGTAGAATTTGACTTTTGAAGACAGAATATATCTATGTACTTTATATATACACATATATATGTATATATACACGTATATATGTATATATACACGTGCACACCACTTCTGTAGTACATTACAAAACCTTTTCTCCCACTCAAAAGTGCTAATTCAGAAAAAAAGAAACTAAATACCAAGCACTACATGTTTTTGATAGGAGGCATACCTTAGGCCTGACTACATCTCCTAGATTGCCACCTATCAAATATTACGTGTAAACTAGAACATTCCTTCTCCAAAAGAGTACCTCACTCAAAGACTGGGCACAGCAATACAGAATTCATTACCAGTTCCCACACAGGCTTTGAGTGTTGAAGGAAAAGACATAGAACACATTTATCTTCTTTCTTACTCATTTCATTCTGGCTGTGAAAAGGGAGAGCTGGATGGCAATCTGTCAGTGCTGCCCAGGCCACTCTGCATCCATGAAAGAGAACCAGAGCAGGCAGCCCCTGCTCAGTGCTCTCATCACCCTCCTTAAAATCACAGAGATACTGGAGAGATTGCTCATAGTTTGAACTCTCAAAATACCAATCTGAAACATGTTTAGGTAACTCTGAAAAATGTACTTTAGCTTCTTAATTCACCCTGGGGAGTCTGCACTGCTAATTTGCCTTTTTCTCTGTTATGCCCCAGGTCTCTGGTTCTGTGCTTGTCACATGCTTGTCCCTGCATACATGCTAGTTTGCTCCTGGACACCATTTGAAGTAAACCAAATAGCTTCCTCCTGAGAGGAGAGGTCAGGGCCATACAGGAGCAACTTCCTCTCTGATCCCTTCCACATAGGCAGCACACATAAAGATCAGATGCAGCCAGTACAAACCTGATAGCAATTATGTGTGGCAGTGTGGACACAATGCAGCCAGCATCAACTGGCACATGGACAAGGGGTCGCTCCCTGTGTAGACTACAAAGACACCAGATACATACTGCCTCCCAGATTTTATCTTTAGACTATCATCAAATCATCGATCTTCCAGAGCGTGGAGAGCACCACTAGAGCTGCAAGCTGAGGCGCATTACAAAAAACTCTTGCTTTTTCTTACTTTTTTTTTTCAGATTTTGCATGTATGTTGAAAAGAAAAGAAAAAAATAGCAGTATTACCAGCAAATACTCCAAGAATAACTTGATGAGGGAAATGCGTTGCTATGAATACTCTTGAGATGCACACAGTGATCTGGATAATCCAGAAAATACTCCAGAGGAATGACCATGTTAGTCTAAGGGGGAAAAGGAAGATGCTTAAAAATTAAGACAAGATATTTTACCTAGTAATTTACACCAGGCCCCTTCGTGTCAGGCTCCTATTTCTACCAAGCAGAGGTTTATAGGTAGAGAAGTTTAGAATCAGAGAAGTTGGTTCTAAAACATTAGCAAGAGTGGCTGCTCTTACAGCCATATCTAGGGCTGCAGGAACAGACTCCAGCGATTTCAGGTCCAAGACACCACCGTGGCTTAGTGATGAAAGTCATCAATGGCAAGTTAAATAAGCACCACTACCTTGAACATATTTCTCATCATGAAGTCATACTTAAATGCGAAAGTTCAACTATTTGGTGACAAAATTCACATAGTATAGGAACAACCTTGTCAGCCTTGGAAAGAACAGCCATCAAAGCAGTTATATGACTTCCCCACAGAGTGGGGTAACACGTTACACTGACCTTTGCAGTAAATTTATGTACTAACCAAAAGATCCAACATGTAAAGGCAATTAATAGAATTCAAAATTTCCAACATTGAAGACGTGACACGACCTTTAATAGGAGCTGATTCAGAGATATTGTATGCCATGACTGTAAGTTAATAAAACCCAACCTATACAAATAGATAAAACCTCTTAATATTCTTTTTCTTGAAGAAGAAGCTGAAGCAGACCATAATAAAGGGCTTGGCTTCTTGTTTGGTTGGTTGTTTTTTTTTACAAACTGGACAGAACAGACTCTGAATATTTGATTAAAACAAGTCCATTAAAAACATAGTATATGTATATATAAAGAGATACCTGTACGAGTTAGAGCAATGGAAAGACACTGACCTGTGAAGGGTAACTGCTGATTTATCTTTCCACCTAACTGTGTAGCTAAGTGCTGCTGTGACCATTACATACCAGACGCAGGAAGATCCCATGGCATGTCCAGATGGGCTTCCTAGTGAAAACAAATAGGAAATATTCAAGCTTAAATATGATGACTGTAACATTTATCATCTAGGAAATATCTAATGACAGTTACACAGGAACCTAATTATTTAGAAAGAAAATGGTTAAAAAGGCTGAAAGAATGCCAACTGCTTCTCAAACGTTAATTCTCAATGTTAATTTTTCAGAAGACTCGTATATATGGAATCCAGAATATCTGTCTGAAATCAAGTAGGAACAGCTTAACTGTCTTATATGAGTATGAGCTGGTATCCTGATTGGAAAGCATAGTATTTTTCACTACTTAGATTTGGATTGTGACTTAAAAATAGAGTATCAAGGGCTCTCTCAGGGCTGTAGCATGTAATGTAGAAGTTATATATGAAATGGAAATGGAAATGCATCTGAAGTGTGATGCAAGAACTGTGTCTTTATGCTTTACTTTGATTTACTTCATAAATACTAAGGTGTTGAACAATGCCAGCTAGCTCGGAACTGGCACGTGAAACGATGCTGTAACACATTGGACTAATTGCTGCACTCACTGTAGTCTATAACAGGGAACACATCCTCATGCAGACCTAAGTAGTGATTTCTTTTTAGTCCAGGTATAATTTTATACATGTAATTTGTTTTAATTTAACAAATCAAATTTTATTTTTACTGGAAACAATATGATACCGCAGAGAAGTTCCTACAACCACGAAAATCACCAAAACCCAACATATGCTGGCACGATGCAAGGGAAATGATTCTTAAAATTACTGTCACTTCCTTTTCCCTGTTCACCAGGTTTACATTCAACAAATTGAAATGGGGAAGGAATGAAAATTAGATCATTGGAATCTGTCTACACCAGACTTTTACAACTTGGCTTTCTGTGGAGACAAAACAGAAGTAAAAGGGGCAGGGCTATTTCACTGGCAGAAGAAATAATTCTGGCAGAAGAATGTGGCCCAGCACTGTATAGTAGTCTGCAAAGCAAAAGAATATTTCAGTGAAGCAGCA